ATTTCTGGTTTGTTTGATAACAGCCATCCGAATGGATATGCAGTGGTATTTCATTGTGGTTTTGATCTGCATTTCTATGATGGTTAAAATAAACTTCTCGTGTGCATATTGGACATCTGTGTGTCCTTTCAGAGAAACATCTACTCGAGTCACTTTCTCAATCAGGTTGTGTTTGCTCATTGAGTTTTAGAATTTTCTTCATATTCTGGAGACTAGTTCCTAATTAGATGGATATGTGATTTGCAAACAGTCCCTCCTATTCTGCAGACTGACTTTTCTTTCTACTGATGGCATCTTTTGATGCAGAAAAGTTTTAAATTTTGATGAAGTCTGAATTATCGATTTCTTTCCTTTGTTGCTTGTGCTTTTGCTGTCACAGTACTTGTCAGGAGCCAGACTCATGGGTAGAAGTGGGTCTGGCTATGAAAAGGCAACAGGAGGGATCCTTGTAGTGACAGTGCTGTCCTGTAGCCTTTTTTTTTTTGAGAGAGAGAGAGAAGGAGAGAGGGAGAGTGCATGAGTGAGCAGGGGCAGAGGGAGAGGGAGAAAGAATTTAAGCAGGCTCAACACCCAGCTCAGAGACCGACGTGGGGCTCAATCCCACAATCCTGAGATCGTGACCTGAGCCGAAACCAAGAATCAGATGCTTAACTGACTGTGCCCCCAGGTGCCCCCAGTGCTGTCCTGTATCTTCACTGTAACAATGTCGACATCCTGGCTGTGACAGTGCACTACAGGTTTGTAAGATGTTACTAGGGTGGAATCTGAGTGAAGGTTCTCTCTGTATTATGACTGACAATTGCACGTGACTGTACAACTACCTCAATATTTTAATTAAAAGTATATACCTAATCAAAATAAAAACAGCCACGAAGCAGGCCTAAGTGAGGGCCACGTAGCAGAGGTCAGGCCAACACAAGGAAGGCAACTACAGGTGACCCTTGAACGACATGGGTGTGAACTGCATGTGTCCACCTCTACACAGATGTCTTGGGGTCAATACAGGACTTCGTAAATGTATTTTCTCTTCCCTATGATTTCCTTAACATTTTTTATCTACTTTATTATAAAAATACAGTATGTAGCACACAAAATCTGTGTTAATCAATGGTTATCAGTAAGGTTCCCAGCCAGCTGGCAGCTGTTCGAGTTAAGTCCTTGGAGCGTCAGAAGTTATCTGTGGATTTTCATCTGTGATGCGGTCAGTGCCCCCACCCCCATGTGCTCCAGGGCCAGCTGCAGCAGAGTCTACGGCACTCGGCCTGGCAGGGTACCGACTCCGTGTGGACGAGCTGAGGCGAGCGATGGCGGGGCTGGGAGACTGGTCATGAAAAGGAGGCTTGAGCAAACAAGGAAACTGGGGACAAGGAGAGCAAGGGTCCTCATTCTCGAAGGAGGGAGTCATAACCATGACGACGGGAAAAGCTAGAATGATGGTGGTGAGGGATGACAGTGGGAAGTACCAGCATGGACTCAGCGTTTTCACCAAACAGAAGCAAATACACACGTAAAAGCAGGTCGAGATCTGCGCACACTTATTAACTTATTTACTTGTCAGCGAGGGTGGACAAATAAATTTGCTCTGTCTCCCAGGGAGCGTGGCAATTGTGACGTCGTCGCAGCAGTGAGCACATTTTGGTTTCTGGATACCATTCCCTACTGAAAGGACCAGAGCTCCTTGCAGAACTGGGTGACTTCAGGGCTGGGACAGGGAAAGGGCGGGGGAGATGGAAGACCTTGCTGGGCCAGGAAGCAGGCATGCAGGGATGTCCCTGCAGGGAGGGGTTCTTGCTGGCCAAGTGTGGGACGGCGGAGCATGAAAACAAATGACAGTTACTGACGCATTCCTGACAGAACACGAAACCACACTGCAATGGAGATACAACCGACACACAAGCAGGAGGAGAGAGTGCCGGCTGAGAAACACAGAAGCGATGACGGATTAGGAACCCTCCACTTCATCATCTACCATCATGACGGTTAATCCAGGCGGAGCCTCAGAGAGCTGAGCAAGCAGAGCTGGACGAAGGCTGGGGTAGGCACACTCTCCAACACCTCTCCACAAAATAGGAGCTATGAGGGAGAAAGCACGACTTAGAATGCACAAATCTCGGCAGACACCACTGTCCTGACGTGATCAAACTTAACACCTCCAGGGACCTTCTGGGTCTCCTGATGGGATGCAGTGAGGAAAGAATAAAATCACTTCTGGGATGGTCCTGCCAAAAATGCGTGACCTTAACGTTACTACGATGTAACAGCAGACAAACCCCAAGTGAGCAACGTGCTGCGACATACCTGGCCTGGAATTTTCATAAAGGTCAAGAGAGAACTAGCAGTGCCCAGTCACTGAGAGGAAAAAAACACAAGTGTCCTCTTGCTATTAAAGGACATTATTAGGACAGTTGACAAAACGTGGATGAGGGTCTCTGGGTGAATAGTATATGGGAATTTTTTTTATGCTTTTCTGTGAGTTTGAAATTATTTCAAAACAAAAGAACTACCATCACAAGAGAGACAACCAGACATCTGATGGAAGAATACAGCACTATCCATCAAATATGGTTGTAAATAAAAAAAACTTGATTAGGCTCTATGACCCTCTTCCAGTTCAGTTTATAGGAAACATGTGAATATAATCAGCAAAATACAGATTGTGGCAAACTCTATACGGCAAAAAAAATCTGGTTTCTTTAACAAATAAATTGGGAGGAAAAAGAGGGAGAAATCCACATGCAAAAGAGATCTAAGATACATACCGACCAATTTTAAAATATTGACCTCTGTTGGGGCCCGATGCAAACAAAAATATATACATCTATGAGACAGAAATTTAAGCAATGTTTAGATATTGATGATATTGAGCAACTGTTAAATTTTTTTAGTTACGATAATGGTGATATGGTTAAGGAATGAAATGAAGTAATACGGAAGTAGGGGAAAAAGGGGGAGGGAGTGAGCTGAAATTCTTAAAGCTGGGAGATGGCACCTGATGGGGAAGGGGGCCTCTGTGGCGGGGTGGCACCTCTGCAGGGATGGCACCCATATGTGGGGGTGGTACCTCCAAAGAGAACAGTACCTCCGCATACAGTATCCTATATACTTTTATGAATGTTTGAAATTCCACCTCCCCTCAATTTTTTTCAAAAAGTAGAACCAAGATTTAAATCTAGGTTTGTCTCATTCCAAAGATAGTTCTTGTTGAGTTTTCTACTTTCCTTTACAAATAACTTAAAAACTTTATTTATGTACCCCCTAATTTTCCCATGATTCATTAGCCACTAATAAAAAAATACTTCCCATCCCAATGCTAATCCAATAAAGTATAACTGACTACCTTTATAGACGAGACTCACTCTAAAAAAGTTAGATGTAAAGTTTCTTATTTTTCCAGATTTTTCCTAAGTAAATATTAGCTACATTTATACAATGGGGAAAATTTCAATGACAAAGATGGTTTTAGGAAAGGTAAAACAGGGCGCCTGAGTGGCTGAGTTGTTAAGCATTTGCCTTCGGCTCAGGTCATGATCCTGGGGTCCTGGGATCGAGCCCTGCATCGGGCTCCCTGCTCCACGGGAAGCCTGCTTCTCCCTCTGCCACTCCCCCTGCTTGTGTTCCCTCTCTCGCTGTGTCTCTCTCTGTCAAATAAATAAATAAAATCTTAAAAAAAAAAAGGTAAAGCAGCTCAGCAAGAGATCACATACAGCTAGCACAGCCCTCCCTGGGCATCTGGAAACGTGTCAGGCTTTCCGGGTGTCACTGCAGTCTGGGGACGTGACTGGATGATGGGGGTGGGGTGGTGCAGGGATGCTGTCTTCCGCATCCGGCGCTCTCCTGTACACTTAAGACTTGCCCGCCTCAGAAGCCAAGAGAACCCCTGGTGGGAAACCCCAGCTAAGAGGTGACATTTCGACAGAAGAAGCAAGAGCGGAAAAGGTTTGTCTGACTCTTACACTCGCTAGCTGGAGTCCCTTAGCAAAAAACACATCACTCTACAACGTGAGCAGCAAGCAGGCACCGTTGCTGCATTGGTTTTAGACAGCGCTTCCTTCTCAAACCAGGGAAGCTAACACACCGTGAGTCTGGCACACAGACGCTGTCCACAAATGGTGGGCAGCAGCAGTCCTGGTGCCCCCAGAGCCAGGCACGGCACAGATCTGTGAGGACCTGGAATTCGGGCGAGGTCTCAGGAGGGAGACGCTCCTTCTCCTGGTGAGAGACAGCACCCCCTGGTGGCGTGGTTGGATTCCTACAAGAGCACAAGGCACTGAAAGCCACCCTTCAGACCCTCACATCACGTAATCCCACTTCTGGGGACAGTCCTTCAGAGTTCCCTGTACAGGAACACGAAAGTGAACAGGGCAAACCTAAAAGAGGCAGTAGGAGAATCACGCAAAGGGCACTGCCAAGAAAAGTGACTCAACATCCGGCTCTCCGCTGGCAGCAGCAGCAGGACCTGTGGTGCCAACGTGGCAGGAAGTCGGGGTGTGCCCCGGCTCAGCACCTGCAGCAGGCAAAGGAGTGAGGGCAAGTATGGCAGCAAGAGCCCCAGGCAGCACCTTTCCTGCCTGGGGCTGCCATGTGAAAGCTCGAGACCACGGGATGGGACAGAGGAGGGAAACAGACTGGGAGGTGCAGGGGTCCCATGCTTCTGGACATGCGTCTAAGTGTCACTCCCGAGGAAGGAGACAGGAAAGAAAGGAAAGTGTGACTCACATGGAGGCGTTTGATGAGAGGAACAGATAATTTCAGTCTGAGAGGATAATGCAGGAGACAAACATTGTTTTCAACGTTCCTTCTCAAAAGACCCATTATTCAGGATTATGAAAAGCAATTTTAACAGGTCAAAACAGGGAGGCAGAAATAAACAAAAGCCATAAACAGCAGCTGCACTCGGGATCCCGGTATGAGGCCTCGAGCCTTCTGTCATGTCTACCCACATCATTTTATTAGATGCCACTTGGCACAAAGACGCAACAAGTATATCAAAGCACTCTTACCTTTCATGTTGGCAGCATATGCACTGTTATTCACCGAAGTGGAATACAGTTCCTCATTTTCAGGCAAGATTCCTGCAGGCATGGTAGTCTGCTGGGGACAAAAAAAGATTAGTTTTTGAGAGTCTGCCTATGTGATGTTCATTTATGCACACATACATACACACACAATGGAATATTATTCAGCCATTAAAAAGAATGAAATCTTGTGTGGGAAATAAGAAACAAAGAGCAAAGGAAAAGAGGGAGAGACAAACCAAGAAACGGACTCTTAACTATAGAGAACATGCTGATGGTACCAGAGGGGAGGTGGGCGAGGGATGGGGAAACAGGTGGGCACTTGTCATGATGAGCACCGGGTATTGTATGGAAGTGTTGAATCACTGTATTGTTACCTGAAACTAATATAACACTGTGTGTTAACTATACTAGAATTAAAATTTAAAACTTAATAGGGTGCCTGGGTGGCTCGGTCAGTTAAGCGTCTGCCTTCGGCTCAGGTCGTGATCCCTGGGTCCTGGGATGGAGCCCCGCGTCGGGCTCCCTGCTCAGCGAGCAGTCCGCTTCTCCCTCTCCCTCTGCACCCCCCTCCCACCACTCATGCTCTCTCTCAAATAGATTAAAAAAAAAATTTTTTTTTAAGGATTTTATTTATTTATTTTGAGAGAGACACAGCGAGAGAGGGAACACAAGCAGGGGGAGAGGGACATCTTATGTATGTTTATGGTGTGTTCTGCCTAGCAGCACTGTTTCATGTAGTCCAACCTGTAAGATTTTTCCTATAACTTTAACTTTTCTGCCACATTAAGAAAAGCTTCTCCAATATAACATCTAAATCCCAATTTAATAATAGATAATAGACAGATAAATCCTTTGTTGCAGGCTGACAGTATTGCTAAAACATAATAGTTAATCTACAAAAGTAAAGATGGCCCATCTTGGGGGCACCTGGGTGGCTCAGTCGTTAAGTGTCTGCCTTCGGCTCAGGTCATGATCCGAGGGTCCTGGGATCGAGCCCCACGTCGGGCTCCCTGCTCAGCGGGAAGCCTGCTTCTCCCTCTCCCTCTCCCCCTGCTTGTATTCCCTCTCTCGCTGCGTCTATCAAATAAATAAAATATTTTTTTAAAAAATGGCCCATCTTCAAAGAATATCATATGTATCCAAATGTGACAATAAAAGTCATCTTAAAAATAGTAAAACTCTCTTTCTTTGTAAATCATCTACTTTGTATGGCTTAAGTACTATATTTTTGTCAAATAACATGAATACATGCTTTTTATGAAAAGGCAATTCTTCTAACCTAGGAAAAACAGTGGAAAAATGGAAAGTTTTCTTTAATGGTCTAATTACCAGAGAGTTAATATATGCTTAGAGTTAAACTATGAATTTTCAAAGATCTGAGACAGCTAATAAACATCCGTTTGGGAAACACTATTTCCAGACCCATCAAAGTCTGCGAGTTAAAACAGAAAATTGAAAGCATCAGTGCAGGCTCCTCCCCCGTCTCCTTGCAGGTGCTCATCACCGGCTCTGATCTAAACAGTCTAGCAGCCCCAGCGCTGCCGCCTGACAAAGCCAACAGCCCTCCTCTCAGCCCAAGCGCCAGTCCCCACTCCTGTTCCGCTTCACCTTCCAGCTTCCAGGGGACTCTGCAAGAGTGTTCTCTGGGTATTAACTCCGCATAAGAACATGGATGTGTAGTCCAACTGTATATAACTGACCAATTACAGACGGCTCAACTAGGCCAAGCTATATTGTATAGGCAGAAGTTCTGCGTTTAAACTTTGACTCTGTTCACTACCAGCTATACGAACCAATTTTTGTATAGCTTCAATTTTCTCTTCTGTAAAATGAGGATTATATCTTTCTCAGCTTGTTGTGAGGATAAAGAACAGTTGTGTGTGTGTTTCTAGCACAATGTCTGGCATACAGGTATCCAATATATTACTGTTATTTTAATTTGCAAACCAGTATCATAGTATTTTATAAGACTTTGTAAATATTCCCTTCCCTACCTAGAAAACAGTCCTGCCGGTAGTTAGTAATGGTTGACTTTCTCAAGAAGATTTATGAAACAGTAACTTCATTCACAACTGAATTCATTTCACGTGCCTGGTTGCAGAGTCAGGAGAAACAGGGTTTGAACAGTAATCCTGTCATTTCACTGTGCAATCATCTTATTTAATTTCAATTCCTGCTGCTAATGACAGATATTTTGCTCGCTCTATCCTACAATTTGCTTTCATCCCAAGATGTTCCTCAAAATGACTCAACATTTAGGATTAATCACAGGCTCACTAATTAGTACCCAATACTTAAAACTTGGAACAGCTATAGACGATCACTCATACTGTTCGGAAGAGTCATCAGAAAGTAAGAGTTTGACATAAAGAATGTTCTCCTTCATAAAAAAGCCATTTCACAGAGAGACAGGCTCTGGTGACCTGAGGCATTCTGAGGTCACTGCTTTCCTTCTATCTTCCAGACAAGAAGCCGGCACGTGCACTTTTGTGGAGAACAGGTGGGGGCGGTGTTAGACGGGCTGGCAGGAGAGAAGTGCAGCAGCACCCTCCGGGGCATGCAGAGCACTTGTGCTCCATGGGCATCAGGGTCAAGATGTCTGAGGTGGGACATCTGGGGAGGAGTCAACCTGCGCTCCAACTCCTGCTGCTGCAAGAGGCCCTCTGCCCACATTACAGACATGGGCCAAGAGCATTACTTCTACACAGGAATCGTGGTAGAAGAATTTGAGGTTGAAAAATTGAAGTTTGTATGGGCAAAAATAGAGAGCTCCAAGTATGTGAGTGAACTTATGAAAGCTGCATACGTTTCTGTTCACAAATAATGTATTAATAATAACTAAAACATATAAGCTTATTCCACGCCAGGCACTGTTCCAAGTCCCTTACTTGTCTTAACTCATAATCCTCACCACACCACCATATGCTGAGTACTATTATTCTAATTTTAAAAAACTGTATTTTTAGAGCAGTTTTAGGTTCATAGCAAAACTAACTGGAAGGTACAGAGAATTCCTCTGTACCCTTTGTCCCACCCCAACATGCACGGCCTCCCTCACTATCAACACCCCCACCCAATAGCACATTTGTTACAGCCGATGAGCCCACATGGACACATCATCATCACCCTGAGTCCACAGTTTACCTTAGGGCTTCCTCTTGCTGCTGGATACTCTGTGGATTTGGATAAATGAGTAAGGACATGGATCTGCCATTACAGGACCACACAAGAGAATTTTTGCTGCCCAGTCATCTCCTTCTCTGCCCCACCCCCACAACTCCTGATCTGTTCACTGTCTCCACAGATTTGCCTTTTCCAGAATGTCATAATTGGAATCACAGTATGTCACCTTTTCAGATTAGCGTCTTTCACTTAGTGATATGCATTTAAGGTTTCTACACATCTTCATTGCCTGGCAGTTCATTTCTTCTTAGTGCTGGATAATATTCCATTATCTTGATGAATCACAGTTTATTTATTCAGTCACCTGCTGAAAGACATTTGACTTGCTTCCAAGGCTTGGCAGTTATGAATGAAGCGGCTGTATGCATTCATGTGCAGGTATTTGTGTGCACATAGGTTTTTCTGCTCCTACAAGAACACCAAGGAGCACAACTGCTGGACCATATGGGAAAAACGTGTTTAGTTTCATCTATTATTCCCATTTTACAGATTAGAAAATGAAGGCAAAGAGAAGTCAAATAATTTGCCTACAGTCACACAGCTTTTAAATAGTGGAGCTGGGATCTGAACTCACAACTTTCACTCCAGAATTTGTGTTCTTCACCACCACACATACAGCCTCTCAACAGGAAAGACTTCACACTGGATAAAAAAAAATTTCAATGTTACTGTATGCATTTTAACTCTGCTACACTGATAATTCCTTAGCTTGCAAGAAACTTTTCAGACCTATCCACAGCAAGATTTTCAGTTTGCTTTGCTTTGTGCACACACTTTGCTAATCCTTTATCCAAATCTTAATTCATTGCTGTCCCAAAAACAAGTGTCAAGAACAAAGCTCCTTTACACATTTTGGCCTCCTCCCTCCTAACAGAAATGCAGCTGGTCTGACTGCACAATCATAAAATCCACACACATGTTGGACAGAGTTGTTGGCACTTCCCAGCTCTGTGATCTTAAGCACATTTACTAACATCTCTGGGCTCACATCTGCCCTGCACTCATTGCAAAGATGACCTGCAAGCCTATATACAGACTAATTCTGTGCCTGATCCATAATTCAGTCTGTCCTCAACAGAGCAGCCAGAATGACCTTGTTAACTTCAGCCAGGTCACACTCCCCCTCTCTTCACAACCCATCTAGCCACCCTGTTTACAATTTAAACCGGCTCCCCTTCCCTGTTTCATTGTTCTCCTCAGGACTTTTGAAGAAAACACACCTAACATGGTACATAATTTATTGCCTTATCCCTTTTATTGTCTGCCTTCCCCTGCCAGAATGTCAGCTCCATGAAGGCATAGAGTTTTGTCTGCTTTGTCAACTATTGTATAGAACAGGGCCCGGCACAGAGTAGGTCCTCAGTAAAGATTTATTGAATGAATACACAAATTACTGTTCAGTCAAAGGCAGCTGCCACCACCACCACCGTTTAATCTCACTGAACCTCAGCCTTTTCATCTGCAAAGGGGAAACAGTAATCATGCCTTCCCTATGTCAAGGTTATTGCTGAGACCGTGGAAGTGCCACGACAGCACCACCATGCAAAGGCGAGGAGTGGCGTTTTCCTTACCTTAGTTTTCCTGATCACATTTGTATCTCCAACTTCTTGTGGGTCTTCAACCTGACAGATTTGTGTTCCTTCTAATCCTTGAGGGGTGGGTCTGTTTAATTTCAACCCTTAGTCCAAATTTTCTCTGCTTTAGAATGTCTTCCCTAACACCAATTATACATTTTCTCACATCCCCTTATCATGTGGGACTGACTGAAGATTTACCTAGTGGCTCGGATGCTTTAAAACATGGCTTCCTGATACCACACTAGTATTTTGTCCTTAAGGAATTAAAGCACTCTTTATGATTCCACATGTAATAAAATAAACAAACAAAAAACCCAAATTCTTTTTTCTTTTTTAAAATTTTTTTTTTTAAGATTTTATTTATTTATTTGAGAAACAGGATGAGCAAGAGCACACAACCAGGGGCAAAGGGAGAGGAAGGAGAAGCAAACTCCCCTCCTGAGCAGGGAGTCCGACATCGGGCTTGACCCCTGGACCCTGGGATCATGACCTAAGTCGAAGGCAGATGCTTAACTGACTGAGCCACCCAGGCGCCCCCACCTCACAAATTTCTTTTAAATGGAAACCTCCTTCCTTCTGAATCTGTATCTCAAAAAAAAATGACAAAACTGGATAAAATTCTTTTTCTCCTCAAATCACCCCTGGGGGCAGGCAGGCAACATTTTGAAAATGCTTTTTCTTTCTTGAGACCCCTCTAGCCTTTCTCGCAAGCTAGGTCCTCAGGGAAAGGATGAAGGGCTGCCTTGGAGAGACTGGTGTCTGACAGTTTGCTATGAACTTCACCCACTTCTGTGATCCCACACCTTAAATGCACCTCAGGGAAGGCCCCTGGGCTCTCAGAAGACTCATCACAGATCAGGGAAAAACAACACCACAGCAGGATCCTCTTTTTCATCATTTAAAGAAATGCTGTTTGGTTCAGATTCCTCAGAAAACACATTATGATAGCGCAAATAGGGAAAATGTTAACAACAGGTGGAGTAGATTTTTGCAAGCAAGGTTTCCATCATCCCTAGCCTTTTCCCACAGCCACACGAGGCTCATTCCTACAGGTTTGAACCCACCTCACATCACTGTCACACCACAGATACTTCAAACTCATCAAGACGTCAACAGTTACTGATTCAACACCCGTCAGAGGGGTTTTCTTAAAAACCTAGACTGCTGGGCCCTACCCACAGAATTTCCACTCAGTAGGTCTGGGTGGGGCTGAGAATCTGCATTTCCACCTGGTTTCCAGTGATGCTTTGAGAACTACTGCATTAGGTAAGCCATTTGCATTTACCTAACAGCAGGTATTCACAGAGGTTACTGTGAAAGTGTGTCTCCTGGGGTCTGTTTAGCTGTCAAATAATAAAACCTTCCTTTTACAATTCTTCAGTCAATCTTCACAAAATCCTGGGATGCTTTAAGAAGCCCCACATCATCAACCAAACCTAGAAAAAGCTTCATATTCCTGGGTGAGACCTGGGTACTAATGTTCTGCCCAAAATCCTAGTTTGGACCAAGCGATCACCTGGAATCAGGTCACTGCTTTGCAGGTGGTATCAGCAGGAAGAAAGACTCCCCACAGTAGCCACTTTTTGGTCAAGCACCAGACACCACACCATTTTGGATGGCATAATTTGGATTCTTAACCAACAGATGTTCATTAGCTATTCCTTTTAGTAAGTATTGTGGATACATATTTGTAAATATTGTGGATACATAATTATGTTCACATTTAAATACATTTCTATGACATATTATTTAAAAATTTTTTTAAATTTCAGGTAGTTCATTAAAATGATTCTAAAATTTATATGGAGAGGGAAAAGACCTAGAATAGCCAACACAATATTTAAGGAGAACAAAGCTGGAGGACTGACACTACCCAACTTCAAGACTTACTATAAAGCTACAGTAATCAAGACAGTGTAGAACTGGCCAAAGCATAAAAATATAGATTCATGGAACAGAGAGCCCAGAAATAAACCCACATAAATAAAGTCAAGTTATCTTTGACAAAGAAGCAAAGGCAACATAATGGAGCAAAGACAGCCTCTTCAACAAATGGTGTTGGAACAACTGGATGTCCACATGCAAAAAAAACAAAACAAAACAAAAAAACTAGACACAGACCTTACACTCTTCACAAAAATTAACTCAAATGGATGGCAGACCTAACCATAAAATGCAAAACTGCAAATCTCCTAGAAGATAACCCAGGAGAAAACCTAGATGACCCTGGATGTAGTGATGCCTATTTAGATATAACACCAAAGACATGACCTGTGAAGAAAGTAATAAGCTGGACTTGATTACAAAATTCTGCTCTGCAAAAGACAAAGTCAAGAGAATAAGAAGACAAGCCAGAGACTAGGAGAAAATATTTGCAAAAACACATCTGATAATGACTTGTTATTCAAAATATACAAAAAACTCTTAAAAGTCAACAATAAGAGAACAACCTGATTACAAAAATGGGCCAAAGACCTTAACAGACACCTCACCAAAGAAGATATACAGATGGAAAATAAGCATATGAAAAGATGGTTCACATAATATGTCATCAGAATGCAAATGAAAACACTGAAATACCACTTCACACGTATTGGAATAGCAAAAATGTGGAGCAATGACAACACCAAATGCTGATGAGGATGTGGAGCAACAGGAATTCTCATACACTGCTGGTGGGAATGCAGAATGGTACAGTCACTTTGGAAGGCAGTTTGGGGGGTTCTTATAAAACTAAACATACTATACTATCCAGCAATTGCACTCGTATTTTTCCAAAGGAGTTGAAAACTATGTCCACACAAAAACTTGCACAGAGTTTACAGCAGCTTTATTTATAAAACTTGGAAACAACTACGATAATCTTCAGTGGGTGAATGGATAAACTGTGGTACACCCAAATAATAGATTATTCAGCACTAAAAAAACAAACAAACAAACTATCAAGCCATGAAAAGACATAGAGAAATCTTAAAAGCCTATCACTAAGTAAAAGAAGCCAATCTGAAAAGGCTACATGATGTATGACTTAACTATAAGACATCCCCGAAGAGGCAAAACTACAGAGGCAATAAAAAGATCAATGGTTACTGGGGCTGGGGGAAGGAGGGAGAGATTAATAGGCAGAGCACAGATCTTCAGGGCAGTGAAAATGCTCTGTGTATTATAATGATGGATAAAGTCATTACATATTTGTCCAAATCTATAGAACGTCCAAATCCACAGAACACTAAGAGTGAACTCTAAGGTAAACAGTCTGGGTGACTATGAGGTGTCAATGTAGGTTCATCATTGGTAACAAATGAACCATTCTGGTGAGTGATGTTGATAACTGGGGATGCTATGCATGTGTGTGGGCAGGGGATATATGGGAAATCTCTGTCCCTTCCTCTCCAGTTTGCTGTAAACTTAAAACTTCTCTAAAAAAATAAAGGCCTTTAAAAAATGGACCCAGGGGGGCGCCTGGGAGGCTCAGTCGTTAAGCGTCTGCCTTCGGCTCAGGTCATGATCCCAGGGTCCTGGGATCGAGTCCCACGTTGGGCTCCCTGCTCAGCGGGAAGCCTGCTTCTCCCTCTCCCACACCCCCTGCTTGTGTTCCTGCTCTCGCTGTCTCTGTCTCTGTCAAATAAATAAAATCTTTTAAAAAAATAAATAAATAACATCTAATAGTAAAACTTACGAGTCTCAGAGACAAAGAGAATATCCTGAAAGCAGCTCGGGAGAAGAGATATGTAACCTACAATGGTAGAAACATTAGATTGGCAACAGACCTATCCACAGAGACGTGGCAGGCCAGAAAGGACTGGCAAGATATCTTCAGAGCACTAAACGAGAAAAATATGCAGCCAAGAATACTATATCCAGCTAGGCTATCACTGAAAATAGAAGGAGAGATAAAAAGCTTCCAGAACAAACAAAAACTAAAGGAATTTGCAAACACGAAACCAGCCCTCCAAGAAATATTGAGAGGGGTCCTCTAAGCAAAGAGAGAACCTAAAAGCAGCAAAGAGCAGAAACGAACACAGACAACAGACAGTTAACAGTCACCTTACAGGTAATACAATG